TGGGTTGTTAGAAAGTTGTGTGTGTTGTTAGATATATTGAGGAGGTCTATAGATTAAGATGTATTAGATACATATATAGATAGATAGATACATACATACATACATACATTTACATACATATATATATATACACATATAGATATAAAAAGGGATTCGAACTCGTCTGCTAAATGGAAATGAGAATAGTGGCACTAATGATAATTGCATTTCCTTTATTTACTATCATGAAAATGATTACTACGATTGTAATAATATTCTGATCATAAAAAGTTTGATCATGAAATATAACGATAGATGAAAGAACAACACTAACGATGCCAATCACACAGAGACAAGTAATAACGGAAATATCAGTCACTCTTTATCAACACAAAGGAAGAAGGAATATGCAAGGATACTCATGAGATCAAATCAGTCATGTCATTAATAAGGACGCCAGGAACGTGTACCTTACAAGTGATAAGACCAGGGAATGGCCTACAGATCGTTGCTGATAGGGGATACATTAGCATGAGTCTTCTATATCTGTCTGTCTATCTCTTTCTTTATTGTTCTCTTTATATCTCTTTCAAACTCTCTCTTCTTCTACTTTCTTCTTCCTACTCCTCCTTATTTACCCCTCATCCTCATTTTTCTCCCTCTTCCTTCTCCTTTCCTCTTCCTCTTTCTCTCCCTCCTACTCCACCTCCCCATCCTCTTCCTGTTTCTCTTCTTCTCCCTCCCTTCCCTTAGTAGTTATCCTTTCAATAGAAAATTCTAAAATTCATCTATTTAGACTCCTTTTTAAGGTCGTTTTTTCTGATTTTTTTTTTCTGGTATGTGACTCTCTCCTCTCTAGCATTAAATCATAGAGTTAGAAGAGAGTGATTTGTACAGTCTTAGTAACTGTTTATGTGGTAGTAACTTACTGGATTGATGGCCACTTATGTTTGGTTTTTATGTTGTGTTAGTTATATAACCTAGCTGGGAGGAAGGAGGGCGAACATTCGTGAGATCTATAAGTGTGAAAATGAAGCCAGATATATGATCGAACTTTTGTATGAAATGTAATGGATGTTATTTTAGATAGCATTAGTACAGGTGGTAAAAGGTGTGAGATCTTGCAACTTTTTCTCCGATGTTGCACTATCTCAGGCAGATTCCTTTGGCTAGTTTGTTGAAATTGTGCAATTTCCGACCCAGTCCAATTTTCATGATACGGATACGCATATGCACAAAAATAAATGCATATCTATCAGTCTAGACATGCATATCTACTTGACAGATTTATAGATAAATGTGTATCTATCACATTTGTGAATTCTCTCTGCCAGTCATTTCAAGCTGTACTGCGCCCTATAAATAATTTTCCTTATTAGCTATTGTAGGTTTCACTAGCACGTACACCTTCCCTGTCTGTCCTTTGCCCTGTCCCACTTAAGAGATAGAGAGAGAGAGAGAGAGAGAGAGAGAGAGAGAGAGAGAGAGAGAGAGAGAGAGAGAGAGAGAGAGAGAGAGAGAGAGAGAGAGAGAGAGAGAGAGAGAGACAGACAGAGAGAGAGGAGAGAGAGAGAGAGAGAGAGAGACTTGTTTTATCTCTCAGTCAATCTCAGCAAGGTTTCGGCAAAGAACATCCCATGAATATTCAAAACACTCTAGTACTCGTAGCCTGACCAGTCAACTTAATAAAAGAAATGACAGGATTAATACTCAGAAATACTCTTAGAAATTGCCGGTCAGTGAACTATGACGCAGGACATTGAATATCATTTTCCATGCGGGGGAAGGAGGAGGAGGAAGAGGAGGTGAAGAAGGAAGAAGAGGAAAGGGAGGAAAGGGAAGGAGGAGGAGGAAGGGAAGGAAGAAGAGAAGGAGGAGGAGGAAGGGAAGAGGAGGAGGAAGGGATGAAGGAGGAGGAGGAAGGGAAGGAAAAAGATGAAGAGGAGGAGGAAGGGAAGGAAAAAGATGAAGAGGAGGAGGGGGAAGCGAAATACGAAATGTAAATTTAAATTCCCCGCGAGAGAACGATCTGGAAAGTGTCATTCTCAGCGCGAAAGTTTAATTACATATACTCATTAAGGCAATACAATCTCGAATTCATTTCCAACCTTCGTTTGCCAATTATGTATATGATATCCTGTTTATTTGGCATTTAGTTTACTTAGTTATTTCACGCTTTTTATCCCGATGTATTTAAACACACGTGGAGGGAAGAGGGGGGGCGGGGGGGGGGAGGGGAGAACCAGGAGGGGAGAGGGGGAGGGGAACCAGGGGGAGAGGGGAGGGGACTAGGAAAGGAAGTGGGGGGGGTAGGCGAGGAGAGGGGGAGGGGACCAGGCGGGAGAGGGGGGGAGGGAACCTGGTGGGGAGAGGGGAGGGGACTAGGAAAGAAGTGTGGGGGGGGGGCAGGCGGGAGAGGGGGAAAGGACCAGGAGGGGGGATGGAGGAATGAAACCAGGAGAGGGGGAAGGGAGGGGGGGGGGGTGAGCGAGTGCCGACCGACATCAACACCTGTACGCTC